GGGCCTGGACACGGTGGTTGGTTTGCTGGCTGACGTGGTCCTGCACCCCAGGCTCACAGGTGTGCCCTGGGCTGTGTGCGGTGTCTAGGGGGTTGGACGCGGAGGGGGGCAGGCGGAAGCCCGGCCCCTGAGGAAGAGCACCGTGGCGCCCCCGTGGGCTCAGCTACCAGTGGGTTGTCACGATTTCCTAGGAAGTGACGCTGGTGGTCAGGGAGGTTCTTCGCGTCTAACACTTTGACACCCCTTTATGCCTTTGGACGCTTTTAGCGAAGTTGGATTTTTAATTTCTTTTTTTTCTTAAGTTTTTATCGATTTACTCGTTTAAGTAACTCTTAAGCCCAGCGTGGGGCTGAGACTCTCGACGCCGTGATCAAGAGTCGCACGCCCCTCTGATGGAGCCAGCGGGGCACCCCTGGGTCTTTCGTTTCTCAAAGGCATTTCAGACAGTCTTTGAAAACTCTGGCTGGTACGCTGCCGGAAGTTTCCACGTCCTGGTCTCCATCCCCTTCCTTGGCCTGGTAGTAACCAGACTCTGATTCCGGGCCCGAAGGGGGCTAGAGTGGGTCGTGCTGACCATTCCAGCTGCCCTGGCTGGGCTCTGGTCACATCGGCCTGGCCTCGTGGTCCAGGACTGCAGTGCTGAGTTAAGAACTTTCCGGTACTTGCTCCAGCTAGCTGATGAAACAGCAGCCACGATGTAGGCCCGTGCCTCTTTTTCCAGTGCCTTCACATCCAGCGCAGCTTCACCCTCACGGCAGCCCTTTGGGACGGAGCGGTTAGGGGCCTGAGGGCCTCTCATGGGGAGGAAGCTGGGGCTCAGAGCAGGCCCGGGTGACCACCTCATGGCCGAGCCTGGCGAGGCCCGACGCCTCTAGGCCCTGCCCGCCCGGCGCCGTCCCCCTCACTCCCACCGCTGCCCCCCCGGTCTGCCCCAGGTGAAGGCAGAGGAGGTCGCCAGCATGTCTTTCGGCCAGTCTGGTGGCACAGGCCCAGGGCCATCTCCCTCCTGGCTGGTGCGGTCTGAGCCTCGCCTGGGTGCTTTGCAGATGAGGAAATCGAGATGGCACGGATGGCTGTCCAGTTTGAGCTGGAGGACCTCAATATGCGGCCTGACCCAGAACCGCTTCTCACAGAGATGATTCACGAGGTGAGATACAAAACTCGCAACGTGCCCTCCTCCGTATCAGTGGCCCTCCTGCCACCAGGGCGGTTGGGAGGGGCCGTCTGCCTTCCTGAGGTCATTCCTACAGGCTCTAGGTGTGGTCAGAACACTCTTAATTCCCAAACCTGCCACTCATGCGAGTTTTTCATTTTGTAATTTTTTTTTTTTTAGCATTTTATCCCTTGTTTTTGAGAAAGTGTGAGCGGGGAAGGGGCAGAGAGGGAGAGAGAGAATCCCAAGCTAGCTCCGTGCTGTCAGCGCAGAGCCTGATGTGGGGCTCGATCCCACGAACTGCGAGATCATGACCTGAGCCGAAATTGGACGCTCAAGCAGCTGAGCCACCCAGGCGCCCCTCGTTTTGTAATTCCTACAGTAACAAGATTTTTATCGCTCTGTTTCTAGAGCGAGGCTTTTATTTCATACGGGTTTTTTGAGTTTTCATCCTGGAGAGGTAGATTTTGTGTTTTTTAGAAACACACAGAGCTATTCCTGCCAAACTAAGCAAAGCGCCCACGGGCTCTTCCTGCCACAGCTGGGGTCACGGCAGGCCCAGCGCAAGGGGGGGACACCTGGCCGTGGCCTTCTTGGTCACCTGTGTTTCTCCCCTCCTTTGTTAGGCTGCTTATCGGGAAAACACAGTTGGCCTCCACCGTTTCTGCCCCACAGAAAACATAGCAAAGATGGACCGAGAAGTGCTTCACTCCTACCTGAGAAACTATTACACCCCTGACCGCATGGTGCTGGCTGGGGTTGGGGTGGAGCACGAGCACCTGGTGGAATGTGCCAGAAAGTACCTGCTGGGAACCCAGCCGGCCTGGGGATGTGAGAAGGCTGTGGACGTCGACAGATCGGTGGCACAGTACACGGGGGGGGTTGTCAAGGTAAAGCCGTGATGGAAAAGAGCCCGTGACCTTGGGTCGTGTATGCCTTTTTTGACTTGGGTTTTGGCACGTTGTCGGCTGGAGCCTGTGGGTGTTACAGTCAGCCGTAAGCCCGTGGCTTTGCCTTTAATACGCATTCTGGGGCCTGAGCGTGACGTGTGTTCCTTGGTGAAAGCTGAGAGTTTGGTACAAACGGGAGGCGAAGGATAGTTCTTGTCTCTAGAGAGTTTTCTGGTGCTCGTGTGGGATTTCTGTGACTGTTTTTAAGCCGCTCCGGCCTGGGGTGGCTGAGGCCTCCTTGTTTTCCACGTGGGTACACTGCTCACCCTTCTTGGTTACAGCTGGAGAGAGATATGTCCAACGTCAGTCTGGGCCCTGCCCCGTTCCCCGAGCTCACGCACATCATGATAGGACTGGAGAGCTGTTCCTTCTTGGTAAGTGCCAGCGGGGGCCTGTGCGGCGTGGAGTTGGGCGTCCCCTCGCGGCTGAGCTCGGCCCTCACGTCTCTCGCAGGAGGACGATTTCATCCCCTTCGCCGTGCTGAACATGATGATGGGGGGCGGCGGCTCCTTTTCGGCTGGCGGGCCCGGCAAGGGTATGTTTACCAGGCTCTACCTCCACGTGCTCAACAGGTGGGTTGGGTCCCTTTCACCTGGCTGTCCCCAAGGTTGGCAGGCCGAGCTGAGGGTGCTTCTGGACCGTGACGCCGCCTTCCAGGTGTCCCCTCGTCCGTGCTCCTTACAGGCACCACTGGATGTACAACGCAACCTCGTACCACCACAGCTACGAGGACACGGGCCTCCTGTGCGTCCACGCCAGCGCCGACCCCAGACAGGTGAGGGCCAGCCCCGAACGCGGTGGCCTCTGCTTCCTGTGCAGGTCACGTCCCCGCATACAGAGCTGGTCTCTGGAAGCACAGATGTCACCACCTGAGTCAGAAGAAACGGGCTGTCACGTCCTGATCACGCTCTTCTTCGTCTCCATGCTCTCTCTTAAAGGTTCGAGAAATGGTGGAGATCATCACGAAGGAGTTCATTTTAATGGCTGGAACCGTGGATGTGGTAAGTGTGGCACAGAGCCACCTGCAAACGTCCCCGCGGTGTTGGCGGGTTAGAGAACACAGTGTGGGGGGGCTGGCGGTGGGCCCATCCTCTGTGCCCCCGACATCCCAACCAGAGCAGTGCAGAGCCCCGGAGTGGGCCAGGTCTGCAGCTGAGCTCCTCCCCTCCTCCCGGGTCTCAGCGCACAGAACAGCCGCTGCCCTCAGCACCCAGTCCGTTTGCATCTGACGGGCCCCGGTCCTTTTTAAGCTCTACCGGAAAGAATAGCACAGAGCACTCTTTTCCTTTTAACGTTTATTCATCTTGAGGGAGAAAGCGTGCAAGATGGGAGGGGCAGAGAGGGAGAGAGAGAATCCCAAGCAGGATCCACGCTGTTAGCATGGGGCCCAACACAGGGCTTGAACTCACGAACCGCGAGATCACAACCTGAGCCAAAACCAAGAGTCGGACGCTTAACTGATGGAGGCTCCCAGGTGCTCCAGGAAAAGGAATATTATTTTAAAAATAATATATTGGGATGCCTGGGTGGCTCAGTTGGTTGAGCTCTGACTTCGGCTCTGGTCATGCCCTCAGGCTCGTGGGTTCAAGCCCCACATCGGGCTCTGTGCTGACAGCTCAGAACCTGCTTAGGATTTTCTCTCTCCCTCAGCCTCTGGCCCTCCCTGGCTTATTCTCTTTCTCTTTCAAAAATAAATATTAAAAAATAAAAATAAAAATAGGGGTGCCTGTGTGGCTCAGTCGGCTAAGCATCCGACTTTGGCTCAGGTCATGATCTCATGGTTTGTGAGTTTGAGCCCCCATCTGGCTCTGTGCTGACAGCTCGGAGCCTGGAGCCTGCTTCAGATTCTGTGTCTCCCTCTCTCTGACCCTCCCCTGCTTGCGTGCGTGTTCTTTCCCTTTCAAAAATAAACATCAAACGAAAATAAAAATACCATATTTGTGGCACCTGGGTGGCTCAGTTAGGTGTCTGATTCTCGGTTTTGGCCCAGTTCACGATCCCACAGTTGTGGGTTTGAGCCCCACACTGGGACATGTGCTGTCAGCACAGAGCCTGCTTGGGATTCTCTCTCTGCCCCTCTCCTGCTTGTGCTCTCTCAAAATAAACAAACTTAAAAAAAGTTTTTATAAATAACATATTAAACGTCCGCGTCGGTGGCTCTGTTAGCGGTCTGCTAGGAAGTACTTCCCGCTAACGTGAAGCAAACTGAGGTGGGTTTTATCTGCCTGGAGTTGCAAAGATAGAAAGCGCTCATCTCAGATCGGAGATTATTTTCCTCCGGCAACGATGCGGACTCTCAGCGGCCAGTGTCGTCCGGCAGGCGTGCACGCTGTTCGGCGTCCGGCAGCTTCGTGTCGGTCGGGTGCCGTCTCTCACCCGGCCGCTCTCCGTGCCCCCCGTTTCTGAACGCAACTCGTGGGAGTCCCATAGTTGCAAATTTCATGCCTGGTCAGAGAGGCTCACGGCACAGACTTGGCACACGGAGCTGGTTCCCTCCGAGTTCCTCGGGGAGCGTGGGGAGCCCGGTTGCCTAGGCCCTGCACCTGGCGTCTGGGTGGAGCCCCAGACTGTCGAATCTGTCTTCCTGGTGACGTGGACGTGGCTGGGCAACAGCGTGTGAGTTGCCGGGAACTGAACCGTGTGGCTTGGTGGTCGGACCCCCAGGTGGAGCTGGAGCGGGCCAAGACCCAGCTGATGTCCATGCTCATGATGAACCTGGAGTCCAGGCCTGTGATCTTCGAGGACGTGGGGAGGCAGGTGCTGGCGACCCGTTCCAGAAAGCTGCCCCATGAGCTGTGCGCGCTCATCCGTGAGTACCGTGCTGGCGGGCGGGCCCAGACCCGGCTCCCTCCCTTCCCTCCCAGAGGCCGGCCAGCCGGAGGAGGTGTGATGCCTGCGGGCTTTCGTCTGTGCCAGCCCTACTTCGTGTCCCTGAGTACTGACCCCTGTGCCCCCAAGTTTTCACCATTTTCCCTACCGCTCTGGGTTTTTAAGCGGATTCGCTGAGATAATGGACGGAAATGCTCCGCTCGGGGCTCGAACGGTGTTGCCCTTCATGGTGTTGTGGCAGGTGTCTTGGCCGCAGGTTTCCGTGGCCTCCCGTGAGTGACCTTCAGGAAGTCCTGGAATTTCCTCTAAGTGTCAGAGTGTTACTTGTTTGTGGCCCTTTGGGGGACAAGCTTATTTTCTCTGTAGCAGGTCCTCAGAGTATCGTGACCCCCCCCCCCCCCCCCCCCCCGTGCTGTCCTGTGGTGACGTTTGTTACCTCGCTGCTCTGGCACTCGCACCCTCCCTGGGGGCCCCCTCAGACCCTGGGGCGCGCAGTACCCAGTCTCCCCTAGGCCTCATCCTCTGGCGCAAAGTCCAGCTGCCCATGCCGGGTGTTCCCAGGCAGGCTGAGCTTCTGGGCCTCAGAAGGTGGGCCCGTGTGTGTGGCCGCTCCCCTCCCCCCCCAAGCCCTAGGGATTCTTTGTTTTTTCCTTCCCTGCAGGCTCTCCATGTGGGTAACTCTGCAGGTGAGCTTTTCCATTGAGATGCATCTGGGCAGGTGTGCATTCCCGTATTTGAAAATAACTCATAACCACTGGTATATCCCCATTTACTGGGAAAATTTGTCACTTCACCCTGAGTCACTCTGAATTCTACACACGCCTGAATCTGGACTCTCTGGAGTCCGCAGCCTGGCCTCAGACCCCTCAGTCAGGGTAGTGGCCACGGCCACGCGTGGAGAGAGTCCGTGCAGGGCTCGGGCGTTCCCCTGAGGTCTCCCTGTCCCCCGTGCTAGGCAGCGTGAAGCCAGAAGACATCCGGAGAGTTGCCTCCCAGATGCTCCGCAGGAAGCCCGCGGTGGCCGCCCTGGGCGACCTGAGCAACCTGCCGGTCTACGAGCACATCCAGGCGGCGCTGGCCAGCAGGGACGGGCGCCTGCCCAGGACGTACCGGCTGTTCCGCTAGAGGCCGTCGCGGTGCGGCCCGACGTGGGCTGTGGACGGAGCCCGTGTTCGTCCGTGGGTTTTGGGTGTGAATTTAGTGCAAAGATTCATAAAAGGTGCAAACCGGGGGACTCTTCTCTTAAACTCGATCAGATTTAATGTCGCCGAGCACAGCTCTGCATCCGTTTCTTCAGGACGGGTAGATCAGGCAGCGGAATAAAGGTCTGTCTGTGTCGCCGCGGCTGGGAACCAGGCGAAGCGAAAGACCGCCGGGGGCCGGCTGCCGCGGGGAGGCCAGGTGGGCACCCTGCCCCGTCCCGCGTTCCCAGAGGCGAGCGGCCTCGAGTCCGCGTCAGAGCGACTCCGGGGTCTGCCGAGGGGCGTGCTCCTCGGCGCGGCGCTTTCCTTCACCCTCGGTAAGGATGGGGTGGCGGTAAGCATGGGGTGGCGAGAGGCCGGGCTCAACCGGCGGCGTCCGGTAACCGGAAGAGCGTCCCGATTCCCGACTGCACGGCACGAGTGTCGGCGCCCTGGAGGGAGGTGGGGTTTCCTCGCATCGCCGGCCCGTGTGAAGAGCCAGAGCTGCGAGGCCGGGGAGCGTTCGGTTCCGCGGATGTGCGTGGACGCGTCAGGAGTCGCCCGGCCAGGTGACCCTGGTGATACAGGGTGGCGTTGTGCTTCCCTGATGGGTACGCACGCGGAGCCCCTGGGCCCCTTGGGGCACCGCCCTCCCAGCCTCTGGGGCACAGAGGGGAGGGAGGGACGCTTCCAGGAAATCAACCTTCAAACGTTCTTTGGTCATTTAACCTGCTTATTTTTGCTGGAGCCCATCCTCCGCTTTTGATGCCTTCCCTGCGCACTTAGCGGCATCAGGGAGGGTGTGTTTATCCGCTGGGGTGGAGCCCGGTGGGCCGAGGTCCTTGCCTTGCAGACATTCCTGTGGTTACCACCCTGAAGGGGAAGCACAGGGGGGGCAGGGGTGGCGGGCGAGGTCAGCTGGGCTTAGCTGGGGGCAGGGCTCACCCAGAGCCCTCAAGGGGCCGGCCGGAGCCCCCACGGGCCGCACTCAGCCTCCAACCACAGACCGCTGCGCCCAGACCCAGGGGTCTGCTCGGAAGCTGGCTCCAACCGCCCCTCGCCCCCGAGGGCTCCTTGGCACCGCGCAGCCGCAGCCCCGTCCTCTGGCCCGCGCCAGCAGAGCGCGTGTGGGTCAAACTATCCTCACACCAGATTTCTCAATTCTATCTGAAGCTTGCTTTGCAGAGACTGGCCGTGTCATTTGAATCTATCTGAATTTTAACCTGGCTCCCAAGTGAAACCCGAGCATCTAAACTCTCCCGGCTGCTCCTAAGTGAATGTCCTGACTTGGGACCCGGACGTTTGCTGACATCCATCATATCGGTCGGAGACGACGCCTGAGATGATGCGTCACACTTGCCTCATTTTCAGGACCCCTCACCGCAAAAATCTGTCGGAGGTTTTCAGTTTATTGACTCAAAACTCAACGGCACATTTCTTTGAGCAAAATTTTGTCGACAGTGAAGTTTCATGAAGTCAGATAGGGTGGACGGGCCTCCTCGGTAACCAGAAGTGGGTGTCCCGCACGACGAGTCTGGAAGCCGGTGCTAATAAAGCTGATACACTCTACTTTGGAAGTGGCTTCGCTTCATCGTGGTTCACGCAGGGCTGAGGTGTTCCTTTCTCCCGGAAAAGCCCCTTTCCAGCCAGCCCGTCTGATGGGGCGGCGGCCGGGGTGGGGGGCAGAGGGCAGAGGGAGGCGGGTGATGCCGGTACAGCCACAGTCGACACCGAACTTCCTGCCTTTGAACTGGACTTGAAACCTTGTTTTCTGGGAATGTCGTAAGCATGGGGTGTGAGCACATGGAGGATCTCTTTCTAGGACTCAATCTTTGGCCAGGAAGAGTTTCAGATTTAATATATGGATTTATTTAAAAATATAAATACGGAAAAATAAATAATTTTAAAGACTAGAGTGAATGCCCCTAGGTTTTCCCACAGTCAAAGCCTATGGTTTTTAAGAGTGATCATGGGCGACACGGCTCTGAGCCCTCTAACACAGGCGGGAACATGGAAGGGGGCCGGCCCGGGCTGGCAAGGTGGTGGCACCCTAAACTTCCAGTTTCTCAGGCCAGGAGACACACTACTTACGTCAATGCTGTTTGTAGCCGGCAATACGAAAGCAAATGCTCTCAAGTCACCAAAAACCAGGAGAGGAGAGGGAGATGGTTTCGTGGCTGGAAGGGCGAGGCCAGCTGCCTGAGGTCAGAGGCGACCCCCAACAGGCCAGGCTGCCTCGTCCCTCCCTGGCCTGTTGCAGCAGGACCGGCGTTCTCCCTGGAAGTCGGCTGGCTTTGACCTGACCGGCCAGGCCTGGGCTCGGTCCTCGTGCACACTGGTGGGACCGAAGCTCCCAGCTGCCTGACCCAGAGTGCTCCCCCCGATTCGCTAACGGGCCCCCTGGACTCAGATGGGGAAGGCACCTCCTGGTCTGCATTTGAGGGGCTGCTGGAGCGCTGCCAATGTCGGCTCTGGGCGAGCGGACAAGGACACCGGAAGGGCGTGTCTGTGCCAGCAGGCAGAACTGCCCGACCCACGCTGGCCTAAGGGACCGTGGGTGTGCCGTGGCCATCTGGGGGCCTGCGCTTGGGGACATGCTGTAAATGAGTGCAGCCGGCTTCATGCCGGGCAGGGGACACGGGTGCCTCAGCACCGCCTCACTGGCCTCCTGTTAGGTTCTTGGTGACGAAGCGTGTTGGCCTCGAGAAACGGTTAGCCGGCGTCCCAGAAATCTTTCATTCCGCAGTCTCTTCCAACTTCTCCAGGGGGCTGTGGCCACGTGACCTCCCATGTTGTGGGTGCAAATGTCCTCGGGCAAGCCTCAAGAGACTGTACAGATTGTGCTGGAATGCTGATCCTTTGGTGCCTGCTGCTGCTGAATTTCTTTGGAAATGCGTCTTTTAATTCCTATCAAGTACAGTTCGCGGTCAAACTTGCCAGCAGCAAGGGGGATGCTGCGGAAGAAAGGGGCGTCGTCAGGAGGGCACTGGCCAGTAGCCTCCTGGGAGGCCGTCTCGGATGCCTGTCCCCTCTGGCCACCGGAGTGCAGCCGCCATGAACACGGAGCTCCCTCGGGCCCCTGCTGGGCCCTGCGGTGCATCAGGAAGAGACCCGCGGCCACCCTGACCGCGGCTGGAGGTCAGGACACGATGGGACGACGGCGGGCACCCAGGGGCGGGGATGCCGCCCCCACCCCCCGAGTGGGCAGGAGCCCCGCCCACCCACAGCCCCCAGGGCGAGGACACGTGAGCAGGGTACTGACTTGTCTCTCCCTGGCCTCACTTTCACCCGGAACAGACCGTACACGGGGCGGTGGTCGGACGTCTTGATGCCAGGGCAGGAGGAATACTTGACCGGACAGATATCGCCCTTGTGGCGGCTCCTGTACACGACCCGATCCTGCAGAAAAGATCCCGCGTGAAGGTTAGCCCCGAGACTGCGTGGCTTTTTTGCAGGGCTTGGCCCGCGTGCCTGTCTCCGTGTCCGATCCCACCCGCAGAGCCTGTTCCCAGAGCCCCTCGCCCAAGCCCGCTGCGCTGGCGGGTGTCTGGGCCCCAGACAGGGGGTGGGGGGGCTGGCAGTGCTGCAGCCGTGGAGGCCGAGCCTGGAGCCCTTGGGTCCGGTGCAGGCTGCTCCCTCTGCCCGTGCCGCAAATGGCTTGCATCTGTGACAGCACGGGGCGTGTACCCCAGCCCCGGGCCGACCGACTAGCCTTCAGAAGGGCCCTTCTCAGAGGGCGCTGCCCCCAACGCCAGGTCCCAGAGATGTGGTCGCTAGCCCGGCACGGGTGCCGCATTGAGGCGTCTGACCGCAGCTCGTGGGGGCTGCTGTCACACCCGGCCTCAGTCCTTAGCTTGTGGTTCTGAAGCACAAGCAGGCCCAAACCTGGGCCGCAGAGCTGGGCAGAGCCGCACCGGAGGTCAGGCGGGACACCAGGGGTGCTCACCGTGTAGGAGGGGGTCCTTTGCTTGGAGGTGGTGTCGTAGGAGTCCTTTCCAATGTCAAACTTGTATGAGGGGAGGAAATGGATGTCTGGCTCCTGGAAGCCTTTGAAGATGGACCCTGGAACAGCCACAGGCCCTGGCTCTCGTCAGCCCTGGCGGGCCGCACCCTCTCGGGGGCCGGGTGTCCGCGCCTCCTCCCGGGGACCTCACCTTTCTTCATCTCCTGGGTGAGCTGGTCATGCTGGAGCAGGGCAGATACCTTCTCCCCCAGGTCCTGCTTCAGGATGGCCTCCACGGCCACGCGCCCTCCGTTCAGACGGAAGTTGAAGTCTCCAAACCAGAACACCCCATCGAACCGGGTGGTGACGTCCGCTAGCCAAAACGGGAAAGTGCGTGAGCCCGGCCCTCCCTGTGCTGGCCTCCCTCTGGCGACAGTGACGGGTGTGGTCTCTGTCCCCGCTCCTGCAGCCACGGGCAGGGACACCCCAGACACGGCCCTGGCTGTGGGGGTTGTGCCCCGCAGCTTCTGGGCCGACATTCGGGTTCACGTTCACGGTTGCATCTTTCATTTCAAACAGCGACAGACTTCTGGGGACAGCGTGGGCGCCCTCACGCTCACAGGAGCCCACACTGCTCACGCTCACCACTCCGCCAGGGCTCCATCCCGGAGGGACAGACAGCCAGGGGGCAGGAGGAGGGCCTGTCGGCCCAGGGAGGCACGGCCACCACGGGGCTCCGCCTGGAAGCACAGCCGCACCAAACCGGTGGGTGGGTCACGGCTCAGGAGGAGCCCAGCGCCAGGCCTTGTGCAGAGCGCCGTTTCCGCGGGCTGCCGACTCTCTAGACTGTTTCAACCTTGATTCTCGGAAGCTCCCCAAGTTTACTTTGAGTAAACCGCCCAGAGAACAAGGTAGGAGCGCATCCACCCGGGCTCACCAGCGTCGGAGCGGTAGGGGCTGGTGTCGGGCACGCTCCTGGGCAGCGCCAGGCCCTGGACGGTTCTGCTGTAGTCCAGCAGCCTCTCGCTCACCTTCCCGTCTCCGGCTGTAAGAACAGAGCGCGGGGGCCTCTCCAGCGGGCCTTCTGGACCCGGAGGACAGCTGTGTGCTCACCGCCCCCCAGCAGGCTCTAACACACAGCGTCTGCGCAACCCGGTCCCCTGGGTATCCCCGGCGGGGGCCCGACGGGAGGGCACCGTCACAGATGGCGCTCCTGGCGGGCATGCGGGGGGGCGTGTCCTAACTCCTGGGACTTACAGGTGAAGTGAGACGTGATGAAGAGGAAGGAGGTGCCGAAGAAGGTGAAGCTGACGCCCAGGGCCCCCTTGGTCTTGATGTGAGACACGATGCGCGTGGTCACCGTGGAGCTCTCCACCTCTGCGGGACAGGGGTGGGGGGGCTGACGCGGCTGCCCCTGCTCACGCCCGTCCACCGCCCTCACAGAGGCCGGGCGGGGGTCCCAGGGCGCTGGCGCAAAGCGGAGCGGCCCGCCTACCTGAGCAGAACCAGATGAGGTCCCTGCGGATGAGCACGGACATGTAGAGCGCCCCGTGGGCCGTGGAGTACAGCGTCACGTAGCGGGGGCCCAGCGTCTCCTGCAGGCGCACCTCCCACTCCCGCCTGCGGTGGGGGGACGGGGAGGGTGAGCCGGGACAGCCTGGGAAGGGGGCTGGGGCCTCCCAGCCCCGCCACCCCTCCCCCACAGCCCAGAGAGCCCCGCCTCCTGGCTCCTGCCCAAGGGAAGGGCGGCAGAGACCCAGGCCCTCGCTCCGGGTCCCTCACCAAGGCTCCAGGTCCCGGGGAACCCGGCGCCTGCCCCTTCCCCTGGGTCGGGGCACCTGCCAGGCGGGCCTCCCGCAGTTGCCTGAGGGGTGGGATGCCCACGCACGCCCCTGGCCAGGCGGTCTCTGGCGGTGCTGGAGGGGCGCTGCAGACCTAGGACCCAGTTCGGGGGTCAGGCCTGGGGCCTGGGGTCCCGCAGCGGGGGCCGTACGTTCTCCCAGATCAGCTGCATGTCAACAAGAACGCAAGCTCATCGACTCCTGGTTCCTTGCGCCCCCGACAGAGAAGGAAGTGGCTCTCGTGCAACCAGGGCCTCACCCCAGCCGGCTGCGCCCTACCTGTCGGAACAGCCCTCCTGGACCCCGATGACATACAGGTCCTGGGCGTAGTCGGCCTCGGCAGGCAGCAGGAGCTCGTCCAGGTTCGGGGGCAGCTCCTACAGAGCAGCAGCACCTCGTGAGGGCTCCTGCGGGACAGAGACCCAGCCTCTCCCGAAGGGCCTGGCAGGCCGCCCTCCACCCCAGCTGGTCACCACCACGCCCATGTCTGCGCCCCTCCCTCACCATGGGGCCCCTGTCCCCAAACACACTGGTGGGGATGTGGTGCAGCCCGGCCAGGTGCTGTGGTCCCGAAGGCCGGCTCTCAAGCCCTTGGGGCCCTGGACGAGGGCACTGTCCCACAGAGGGGCCAGGTGGCTCCCCGTGGACAGCAGGGCCACCAGCCTGGGCACCCGCCTCCTCCAACTGGAGGGAGAACCGCTTCTCATGCGGGGCGCTGTGTTGCCAGGGCTCTTGGTCACTCAGCCAAACCTCATCCTGGTGGCGGCTCTGCCTGGTTTCCTCCCCAGTGCCTGTGCCCCCAGGGTCCGCCCGGGTTCCACTGCGTGGGGGGGGTGGGGGAGTGGGGGGGGTGGGCAGGGCCTTCTGTGCTGTCATCACGAACACCGTGGCACACGTGGGCAGCAGAAAGCACTCAAAGCCCCATGGTGGCAACCACTGTCCCCTTCACCTCACCGGGTGTTAGGACCATCCACAGTGCAGGAAGTCCACACCCCGCCCCCAGACATCAGAGCACCCCACATGCGGGGAATGGAGACTGTCAACCCGAGGACGGCTCTCACCGAGCGAACGAGTCCCAGGTGCAGACACGGGTGCAGGTGTGAGCTGGAGAGAAAGCCACCGGCACTGTGTCCGAGGCTGTCCCCAAAGCAAAAGCCCAGAGATCAGCGTGCAAACCTCTGGCCCATGCGGTCCGGCCCTGGGCCGACTGGCACTCAGGACACAGAGCGCCTGTCCCACCAGAGTGGCGGGAGGGCCTCTGCCGCCATCTCGACACAGGAATCGCCGAGTGGGCCTAACCCAGAGTGACCCCAAGGTGACTGTGATCAGGTCACACAGGCTCACCGACGGTCACAGTGGCCCACGGTGGGGTGTCGGCAGTGGGGAGGCTGCGTGTGGGGACAGGGGCTCTGTTCCCTTCTCCAAAGCTGCTGTGAATCTAAAACTATTCTTAACACGTGTATGTATAAGAAAAGCGCATTTTCCCCCATCGGGCAGCGGGGAGGTGGGGGAGGCAGGGGTGTTCGGGCAAGAGGCCTCTTGACCCAGGTGCTGGGGAGAGGCCAGGCAGACGGCGTGCAGCTCAGAGGCCCCGGGAAAGAGCACAGTGGGGGCGGGCTGGCCCCTTACCTTCTGGCCCTGCATGTTCCAGGTGGCCACGAAGAGGGCCATGCTGCGGTCCGGGAAGTACCGGGCCAGCTCGTCCGCCCCCATCAGGGCCCCGCTCGCCAGGAGACTCCCCTCCAGGTAGCTCCTGCGGAGACAGGGCAACCAAGAAGTCGAGGGTCGGAGCGGGCAGGCCCAGGGACACCCCTCCCGGGGACGCTGCCGGCCTCGGGCCCCCCGTAACACGGAACCCGTTTGCGGGAGGCTGTCCCAGAGCTGGGGCTCCTGGAGACCCCGCGGGTGGGCACAGGCGCCCCGCTGTGGTCCACCGCCCTCTTGGAAAACCCCCCGTTCACGACTCTATAAACAGCAGCACGTGTTCAACGTTTCTGCCACTTCCAGACACGAAGGACTTGAAGGTGATGTCTGGGCTCTTCCGCCGGGGCCCCTTACGGCTCGGCCCTGGGCCGTGGGTGGCCTGGGGAGACACGCGTCCCGGACCAGGGGCTCGCCTCCGCCTCGGCGCGGCCCCAGAGGCCCCGAAAGCTGCAGGGGGCACGTCCAGTCTCACGACAACCGACGGTTAGGATCCGTTTCAAGAGCTGACCGGCACAGCACGTGCGGAGACCCCACGGCACTTTGCCTCGGCTGCAAAGTGCCACCTAGCATAGCGACCCCGGGGACCAGGCCGCGCGGCAACAGAACCTCACGAGCGTCGGAGTCCGAGCGTCGCGCGACTTCCACACGAGATGAAACGTCCGCACGGTCTTGTTTTTTAGCTGTGAGGACACCCGGCCGGCAGGCCGCACCAAAACAGGTCCCGAGACTCGTTCGTGCGCTTGCCCAGCGGCCCGGCGGCTCTCCCCTGTGCAGGTGCGGGGGGGCCGGCCCCCCACCCCCACCCCGGGCCCCTCGCAGGGGCACCAGGGCGTCCCTTCTCTTCTTGCTGCCTCCGCCTTCCTTCCAGCTGTCTGGGAGTCCTTCCAGAACCTTCTTCCAACCCAACTCAAGATCAGACTGCTCCCAGAATGAGCACCCAGGCGATGGCCATGCCATGTTTGGCCATTTTGTCCCCTAGGTCTTCTAATGCTCCAGCCGCCACAGACACTGGTCACCGGTCACCCCCCCTCGCCATCCAGCCGCTGCAGAAGCCGGTCACTGGCCCCCGTGCGCGCCCAGGGCCGGGGCGGCTCCATCGACTCCTGAGTATTGGTCATTTGGAGGCTGGTTAGATTCCACCCCCGTTTCCCGGCAGACACATCCCAATAAGCTCCACGGGCGCCCCAGTGACCCCAAGATCAGTCCACCGGAACGTCACTCGTCGTCAGCTGTCGCCCCGATGACCGTGTGCGAGTGACGGCTCTTTTAGGGTGCTCTTTCCAGCACTCGGGTGCGGCTGGCTGTTCCTTCCATGGTCCCTCCTCGTGTCTCGGCGGGCGGGGCCGTCCCGGTCCCGTCTGTCAGGAGCGAACGGAGGCCGAGGGGTTCGGTGACGTGCCAAGGCCCGGCAGCCGGGCGCTGCGGTGCGGGAGGACGGGGGGCACCCAGCAGCAGGGGGGGTGTGCTCCGGACACCGGGGTGCCCCACCTGTTCGGCAGACCGAGCCCGGCTTCCGCCCTTCTCCCCCTTGCCCCCACGCGCCCCTCCAGGCTGCCTGGCACGCTGTCCCCTCCCGCCTCCGCCTTCGGGCACAGGGAAGGCGTGTGGCCGTGCCGCCCGGGCCCCGCCACCGCCACCGCCACCGAGGCTTAACGCTGCCGTTCAGCAGAGTCCTTGAGAACCCAGCCCAGCCTGGCTGTGTAACAGACCACTAGCACTTTCCAGGCTCCCGAGGACCCCTCGCTCCAACTCGCTGAGAAGAGCTCCCGTCTCAGTCTTGCAAACGGGAGCCCGTTCCTCTGGAGGGCATCAAGTCAAGAGCAGGGCTCCCAAGCCACGCTGGCCGCTGAAACCAGAACGCGGTTCTCAGGAGCTCCCACGAGCGATTCCCACGTCCTCCTCCCCAGGCCCTGAGAACAGGAATTCGATCAGGCCTGGAGGGAGGCCCCCGCTGGCTCACCCCACTGGGTGGACCACCTCCCTCACACCCGCAGCCGGGCCCCCGCTCCCCTGCCACAGGGCATGATGTCCTCCGGAGTGGCCCCGTCTGCAGGGTGACCAGAAGGCCGCCACGCCAGGGGCCCTGTGCTCTGGTCCCCTCCCGGGTCCGGGGTCGGCCGCTGCACTCGGCTGCTCCTGTGGCCCGGGTGCCCTGCGTCCCACACCGTCCACATCGCCCGGCCCGTCCAACACGGGCCACGCTCCGACCTCAGCCAGGTTCTGCCTGTTTACGGACAGCCCACGAGCTAAGAACCATTTCCACGTTGTCAAAAGAGGAAGAAACCCTGTCATTTTGCGACGTGGGCAGACCACACAGAATTCCAATCTCGTGTCCCTATGCAAAGTGTTACTGCCACACGGCTGCGGCTGCTGGTGCACATGTGGTCTGTGTCTGTTTCCCTGCTAAACGGCAGAGGTGAGCACGGCTGCAGGATGGAGAGACTTACAGAAAAAGTGTGCCGACGCCTGTTCTAGAACCCACCGGAAACGGGGCCTTTAGGCGGCAGAACTGGGGTGAGAGGTCCCCATCAACCTGTTTGCTGCTCGCCCGAAAACACTGAATTGAGGACCCGATTTCGCGACGTGATTGTCATTTTAGGTCACAAGCGCGCCCGCGTAAGTCACAAGCAGCCGACACAGGGCGGTGACACCGCGAAGGCACTAAGACACCTCGCTGCCCGCCAGAAACCCGTACAGATTCTGTCCTGTACAGCTGGGCTCGCCACAGCCCCGTCTCCCTCCCGACCCACAGAACCTTCGAGTGGGACCTTATGTGGCAACCGTCTCTGCACATGCCGTCGGTTTAAGGATGGCAACGTGAGCTCATCCCGGATTTAGACCAGCGCCCCACAGGAGGAGAGACGCAGACACGGAGGAGTACCGTGTGAGGACGGAGGCTGAGGCTGGAGGGACGCGGCCACAAGCCGAAAAACTCCTGGGCCACCAGGAGCTGGAAGAGGCAGGAAGGACCCTCCCCGGGAGCCTCCGGAGGGAGCTCGGCCCCGTGACACCTTCATTTCCGACGCGTGGCCTCCAGAACTCCACTTCTGTTGTTTTAAGGCTTCGGGCTTGTGGCCATTTCTTACGGCCACTCCAGGACGCCACTACAGTGACCCTCCCAACTGCCCCTTCCCCCCGCCCTTGTGCAGCAGGACTGGCCCTGTTGGGAGGGAAGGCGTCTGGCGAGGGAAGTAGGGCCGGAGCCGCACCGGGGGCCTTGGGCGCCACGTTGGGGAGTGGGTGGTGCGGGGGCCATGGCCCCGTGTGTGCCTCGAACAACCTGCCGGGCCCTGGTAGGGGGCAGAGGCCTGGCCCAGCCCACAGGACGGGGCAGGGAAAGCCCTTTCAAGTTGCGGCCTGGGCACCGCAGCGTGGGCCCCGTGACGAGCCCGCGGGAGAAGACCAGACTCGCGGGTTTGGACAGGCGCCCCCGGTCTGGTGAACGGAGCCAGAGGCAGGCAGGGGAGAGTCCTGAGCAGAGAGGACATTGGGGGAAACGCCTAGTTAGGTTCTTTTGAAGCTACAGGGAAGTCAACAGAGATTAATTATTAAAGCCCGACAAAGCCTAGAAACCTAGCATCCCCCGTGGTGGGGGGGTGGGGGGGGAGGGGCAGGTGGGAGCTGACCGACAGCGGGGCGCTCAGCAAACGATCCCAGAGCCTCAGAGAAATCGGGTCAATCCTGGAAGCAAAGCGCAGCCGATCAGGCCCAGGGGACCCTCCCTGCCGCCAGTGAGCGGGGCCCTGGGGACCCTCCGTCTGAGGTCAGTGCGGTCCCTGAGCGGTGGCCCCTGGGCCAGCGTGAGCCCAGAGCACGGCCACGGGGGCTCGCGGCTGCGCTCCGGCCAGCACTGACTGGGGCCCCGGAACGTTCCTCCTCAGCAGAGTGGTTAAGGGAGAGCACTGCTCAGGGCTACGTCTTGGAACCCCGCAGCGGCCCAGACGACAGGGCCGCCCCACGTGCTCACAAAGAAGGCCGTCCGGGACAGAACGAGAACGAGAACGAGAAAGAAAACAGGATACGGCGCGCAGTGCGGAGGGCGATCTGTGTATCTGAACCGTCTGCTTTACAGGCACACGTGCCCCTGGGTGGTGCTAAAACACACAGGGAAAGTTCCAGAAGGGGTGTCCTTCCGGGAAGGAGCCGGGAGGCAGGGGTGAGGGGGCTAGCCTCAGTTTTACGAGAATACCTTCCTGCGGTGCTTTCTAGCGCTACAACGAAGGCCGCGGATGACCCCCACCCCTGCCCCCAGAGGCCCTACCTGCTTCGGACGTCCTTGGCGCGGATGGGTGCCAGGAGGCTGAAGGAGGGTTTGGCATCACAGGCCAGGGGGCTCGGGGGCCGGCCGGGGCCCAGGCTGCTGTGGGCCCGGAACAGTCTGCTCTGCAGGCGGGACTTGCCGGTGGAGTTTGCGGTCCACGGCGGGTTGGAGGCCGCCTTCTGGTCCACGGCGGGCAGCCTGGTGGTGCTCCCCGCCGAGGCCCCGTCCCGGTGCAGGAGGTCCAGGGAGGTGCTGATCATTCCGGAGATACAGTGACCCCACGAGGAGGGGCCCCCTCCCGTACTGCCCTGGGCCCTGCGGGACGTGGGGATCTCCTGCAAGGAGGTGCTCAGGCAGGGTGGGGAGCCGGTGTGGGTGGGGGGCTGGGGGGCCTCGTCCTGCAAAGAGCCCCTGGAGGGGCTGGTCCCACCGCGCGTGGCCAGGTCCTCGTGGCTGGTTCGAAAGCGCCGCCTCCTCCACGCCTTCTCGTCCAGCGACAGAGCTCGCTCCAGCCTGGGCCTCGTCGGTGGCTTTGGGGTGAAGGGTTTTGCCTTGGCTTGTGGGTCCTCATTGCCGATACCCGCTGGAAGGCTCAGAGGGGGCACGGGGCTCTTCTCGGGGCCCTGACAGCCGTTGGTGGGCAGGGACCCTGGGTGGGGCACGAGGTCTTGGCCTGCGTTGGGAAGCTGTCCCTTCAGCATTCTGCCTTCGGGCTGCAGATGCCCCTGGGCGGTGGGCTGCGGGGGAGATGCCTCTGAATGCCCCAGGCACGCCAACTTGGACGGCATAGTCCAGGGGCCGGCTCTCAAGGGTGATGGCGACCCAGCCGACCCAGGAGAGGGCTCCTGCTGGGGCTGCCGGTGGAGCCCAGGGTCAGGGATGCGTGGTCAGACGTCGCCCAGCAGGCACGGAGGAGAGAGCGCGCGGCGGCCTGGGGTGGTCCGGCAGGGGCAGGGCCAGTTGCCGCATGACGGGGACCCCCAGAGCCCCGGAGTCCCCCGGAGGAGCCTAGAGGAAAACCGTGCCGTCAGCCTCCCGCAGCCAAGGCCGGCTCTGCCGCAGGGCCAGAGGGGGAGAGGCCAGCAGCAGCTGAGCCACAAGTTACACTGCCGCTTCCTCCTAGGAGGTGGGTGAAGGCTGGCCCCTCGGACCACGGGAAGCCACCATACTGCGGCGGGGGGCGGGGGGGAGGCTGTCCTCCGTGGGGTGCTGGGGACATGACCCGCACAGAACGGCAGCCCCAAGGTCAAGGCCAGTTCACAGGCCCAGCCTCGGATGGGAGTCCCTGGGCCCTGGCTCACCCGGGTGCCCACTCTATCGCTCGGCGGGCACACCCCGCCCGGGCAGGGGCCCCTCCGCAGGTCTGCGGCCCGGCCGCTGCCAAAGGCCCCTGACTCAGGACTTGAGTCTGCGGGCGTGGCCGCCGCCGCGGGGTCCCCAGGGCAACGACAGCCGCTCAGCCTGACCCCGCCCCCGCTTCCCGCCTGGGGTCGCCCCGCGCCGCGCCCCGCGCCCCCGCCTGGGGGTCACCCCGCCCGAGGTCGCCCGGTGCCCCAGACTCGCGTCGCAGGCCCCGCCCGGGGGTCACCCCGCGCCCTGAACCCGCGCCCCCGTCTGGGGGGTCACCCGGCCCGAGGTCGCCCC